AAGCAGAGATGTCACATCCTGGGAATGTTTCCTCCTGGGGAAGGAAGAGACCTGTTTGTACTCAACACCTTGAAATGTAATGGAAAGCAAAGAATATTGAAATATTCTCACACAAATCTGCGGTATACCTCTTTGCTGAACATGTACCAATTAAAATAGGAATGCTCCTAATACCTTTAAAGGGTAGCAATTAAGACTAGTATTCTAATTATACTAACTTCCCTGGCTTCTGGCAGAGAACTCCTCAACCTAGCAAACTGTACTCCTCGAGATAGGTAGTATTCAGGTAACTTACACTGACATTAAACACAATTTCACACACACACAAAGTGCGTTGGAGGTGCTTGGCATTTTACCTTTTTAACATGACAGATATTAGGAGATTTCTACTAACTGACTCTGAGAAAAGGAAATCAAAGGATTGTTTCCACTTAACACAGGGACATTGAACAAAATGGATATCAACTTTTACAAGAAGAACTTAGCATTTTTGTTTGGTTTCTTTTTCACCTTTCCCAAATCTTTTTTTATATTTTGAGAACATATACCATTATAAAGGACTTCCACCTTCATCATTTTATGTAACTACTTGGAAAGCAGCAAAAGTGCTGGTTGGTGGCAAAAACATCCTCTTTCCTATTTTTTATTTATAATACTTTCCACATTTTTCAAGGTAACATGTTGATATAGTTCTTTCCTTTCCTCCTCCCCCCCCCCCAAAAAAAAACAAAACCCAGTGAACTAGGGACACATCCCCAAAGTGAGCTGCTATCCCTTTGGAAGAAAAAGTATGTAGGTATGTTATGTTTCTAAATGCATAAGCATAAGGCATGAGGTTTTTTAAAGTCTCAGTTGTTATTCTTTTGGCTCTTTATTGATTTCTAGTCTCACTAAATACCAACCCTGTTCAAAAAGTTTTTGCCTTTTTATGAAATTGGGATCTGTCCTTGGGGTAAGGCTATTAAGTAATCTATTCTATCATTCAGGTTCCTGCCTGACTGGGAATTGTGAGTGCAGCCTCGAGGAAAGGAATAAGGCCCATGGGATTTTATTTTCTTGATGTGAGGCCTTATTGGCTTTGCTGCTTAGCCATCTTATTAGCAACATCAACAGTCAGATTTTATTTCGTTCCTACATTTGAATTAATAAGCCCTTTACCATTAGGTGAGAGGCCCATTAGCACCTTGGTGTCAGCTTCCAGTCAGAGGGTAAAACGTTGGTGGCGCCTCTGCTACTTACGAAGCAACAGCAGCAACCAGAACCAGAACCAGAACGTTTTATAACGGCATCCGTATACGTGAGGGATATCTGAAAGGAGTATGGGCAAGTGTGTGCAGGAGGAAGGGGGATACAGGAACGCAGAGAATCCCCCTGGGCAGCAGCCAAGAGCCCAGAGGAACCTCGGGGAGGGGCTCGGGGGTGCGCAGGCGACTTCTGCCTTCACTGGGGGCGGGGGGTGTCTGCCTACGCTGTGCTGCGCAGTTCTTGCCTAAGTACTGGGACATTGTGGTGAATTAGAGGGAGTTTTACCCTGTACTTAACAGCTAACAAATCGGTAATGAGTAAACCTTAAAGGTTATTTCTGATATGTTAAAGAAAACAAAATGAAACCAAAACAAAAAACCCAAAACATCTTATGGATATAAAGTATTAGTAATCAGAATTACTCTAGCATTTAAAATATAACATATTTTGAATTGTCACTAATGTGTTTCTTGGTGCCATTCATTCCAGGGCCATTCAATTCGATACATTTCATAGCAGTAAGAACTTTTACCTAAATCTAAACATCCTAGAAGTTATAGAAAGCTGAAAATGTTATCTATAATACCCCCCCCACCCACACACACACATACACAAATATTTATAAAACAATTGCTGTTCAGTCCTCTTAGCAAATAATCAGTATTGGCTATATCACATTCAACGGGCCGTTTGGTTTCATTTCTGTCTAGACTGTGCTTGCACTGCAGCAGGGTAAACTTGCAGTCTGCACGCCTCTGCTTAGACAGCCAGTGAAATAGCAAGAACTGGCCTGATGCTGCTGCTCACCCAGTTACCACTTTCAGGCACTGGCTGTAGAGATGGGGAGACATGTTTTGCCTGGGGAAGTTTCTGTCTTACATTAGCCTAAACTGACATTATCAGAGTAGCCTGAGAGAGCAAGGTAGTGACCTCTCACTCATTTTCACTGGAATTTGTGTAGTCACCTCTCTCAAACCTTTGAAAAGGTCATCCCTGGAACTGGAAAAGTCCAAATCTATTTAAGTGTGCGTGCGAGTGTGTGTGTGTGTGTGTGTAAATGATTCTTAAAAACAAATCTGTTCTGGGACCCTGGTCAGGAGAACTGGTGGAAAGGCCAACACTGGCAGGACTAAGGGAAACAAGGTCCCTTTTTCAGCTGTCTACCTTTTTTTTTTAGAAAAATACATTTTTTAAAGATTTAACTTCATCATATAACTAATCTGAACTGCAGCCAGCATGGTTCTTTCTTTGGAAGTCCTTTAATCTCAGTGCAAGAGTGATTTTAACATTCAGTTGATTGACTTCAGTAAAGTATTTGGCAGTTCTCAAACAAATGCCTTTATCAGTGCACTGTACAGAATAGATCTGACCTGGTTCTTGTGGACTGTCAGAAATTCTCTACTATCCTCCTGTGAGCCAGAAAAGCCAGAAACATTCTCTTGCAACTCACTCAGGAAATGTTTAGAGTTCAGCTCATTGAAAAACCAGTATTGTTTCTGAAACACGCTGAAAAGTTTGCACCTGATTTCTGGCTCTTCCTGAAAGTCTGAGTCACAAAAGTCACCCATCCTCATTTTCATGATGTGTCTTATATCATTCATTAAGCTCTACACTGACATGCACATTGCAATATGTGTATATTATGCTAATATCTGTGGTGGCATATCTTAGATTTTCACATTTTGTTTAAATCTGAGCATTTACTGAGAATGATCACTGATACCATCTGGAATATCCTTCTTCTTAGTGGCCTCACAGATTGAAGTTATTACAATCCAGCATTTCAAATTGCTTTGGTAGCCCGTCCTGATGTATCAGTGGTGTGTGGCTGATAATATGGAAGAAAGGGGCTGCTCATAACGATACCTTGCATATTCAAGATATGAGGAAAGAGTGCAAAGAAGCGTTGGGAAGTTTTCAGAGATATACATTGACAGATCAGGATAAAGGGTAAAGAGGGTTGTGAAAAGGATATGCAGAAGATAGGATATGCAACATATTGAAAATTTTGACTATATTTATTCTCCACACGTGCACTAGGACTTTCGGAACAGGAGACAGCACAGCGTAGCAATGATTTGTAAACTTTGGAGGATCAAGCCTGGTGACACATTTTCTTTAGAGCCTTCCCAGTTCTATGCTAGAAACTTGTCCCAATTCTTGAGGATACAACAGCCCACAAGAGAGGGAGCTAGTTCTGAAACTGAAGCCATTTACCTGGCTTCTGGATGATTCAGATCACTCTCTCCACAATTAAGGTAGCCTGATGTTAAGGAGGAAAGAAAAAAAAAAAAGAAAAATAGTGGGAAAAAAAACCCCTCACCTGATGCACTGATGTGCTGATTGCAAAGGTATGCAATGGTATTATGAAAGCTATTTGCTTGCAAATTGTCACCACCAGAGATTTAACTAAAGTGATAGCTGCCTTTCAGAAACTGGCATTTTTCAAAAGGCATTAGCCATTAATGATATAATAATATATACATATATAGAGAGAGACATTTTAATTTGGAAGTCATAAAATCATAAAATCTATTCCTTCATTCTGCACAATTTGATGGGTTGGCACTGGCAGCTCCTGAACACCAATGTAGAAAACATCAGCAGAAAGCAGGGGGAGCAACGAGTGCTGCAGCACTGTAGCAAGTGATGTAGCAAAGCTCAGTGCAACAACATATAAGGAGGAGAAGGCAAATTTAAGGCAAAGTGATTATGCTCATACACCCTAAAACACACACACACATACAAGAAAAACAAGATGTGTCCAAGTGAGCTGTCTAGGCTTACTTGCAGGAACATGCAGGACAAGGAATGGCAGCTATGTGCCCTCATCAGGTCTCCAGTGGGGGTGGGGGACAGGTATTTTGACTATGATGTGCTGGTTTTGAATGTGCCTCTCATAGGGGGTTAGAAGCTAAAAACAATTCCGATCTTTTGTCTCTCCATCCTGTCACACTTCTGTGACCATTAGGATTTACTCAGTTTCTTTTGTCTCCTTAGCTGACTGTTGTATTGCTTCAGGATTGCTCTTGATCTTCCCATCATCTTCCCTCAACTGTTTCAGCTTATAGTCTCTCCTTCATTTTATGCTGTGCTTTGTTTTCCCAAGCTGAGTATCCGGAGAAGCTGCATATAGTAAATAGTCAAGATCCGAGCACATCTATCTAGGTACAATCAACACACACAATGCTTATAGTCACTCTTCTGCCTTTCTTTCTGGTGCTTGCACTCGCTCACCTATTCCCATTCATACCCTTCTTGATATCTGTCAAAAATCTCTACATGTTTTACAGAGTTCTGAGAATACGTGGTTAGTCACTTATGTGGACAAACAGAGCTTTTTCTCCCATCTCAGTAATTCAGTTGTTGTTGCTTATGAGTGCTCACTGCAATAGTGAAGGCCACCACTCTCCAGCCAGAGCTTAAATTAAGGCTTGAGAGGTTCGCAGCTACAGAACAGTGGTGCGTTCACTGACAGTCAGGGGGGTTCTTTGCAGCAATGCTGCACACCACGGTTCGGCCCTGTCACGGATGATATTCCTAAAGCGGGAGGTAAGACTTTGCACAAACTCGAACCCGGATCTCTGCCAATCTGTGGTCCTACGAACAATAAACATCCCAGGACAAAGTAGACTAGAAAAGTCTCCTTACTTGAATCATGCAAAGAGAGGATTCCAATTTGCCAGCAAATATAGTTGTTTGCGGTTCATATTGTAATATGTTGCCCTAAACATTTAAAAGACATGAATTACTTTAAAGTAACTGCTTTTGTTGGGCCCAGTTTTAAACTTCAAGGTAATTCAGTTTCTGCACTATACAGGACATCTAATAGCAAATTAATTTATCAGCAAGAAAAACTAGTATCTCAAAGCCAAGGTAATCAAAACTGAGCCTTTAGTTTTCTGCTGGTATGAAATGCCATTTAATTGGTTTACATAACATGTTCCTTGAGTAGGTTGCCTTTTTATTAGTTGTTTTAACTTCAGTGACAGCTTTGCTAAGACTACAGCTTCATATTTCACTACAAGTTCATAGTAACTAGCCAGCAATACTTCCTAAAGCTCAAATACTTATAAGCTGAAAACAGAGCAAGTGCTCATATTGCTGCGATAGAGTTATGTTTCTGAGGAGTTTAACTACAACTACAATCCATGTGATGGCTCATAACCTACCAAAAGATAAAATATGACTCTAAAGTGGGAGAGAAGGGGAAAGGAAGCAGCAAGGCAGTACTGCCCAGGCTGGCAGGGAAGCTGAAACTGGCCATTTGTAGGCACTAGCCTCAGACTTCACTCCCTGTGGTAACTGCAGACTGTAAACAACAGAGGATCAGCTCTGCAAAGCAGACAGAAAGAGGGATTTGCAAATGAAAAGAATGTGATTGGAAGTTTAAGACTTATCTTGATCTATTGACTTGCTTGGAAACTCCCCTATCACCTTACAATAGCTAATTCAGATTAAGAACTCACCTCACTTTTTATACAAATAAAGCTATATATATATATATGTGTGTATGTATATAAAGTGTCCTAGATAACTAATAAATGTCTAAAGTAGAGCTGATTTGGACATTTGCTAGAGGAAAAAGCTGACCAAACATCATGATGAGTCATTAAAACTGCAACATCTCGTACAAATACACAATTTTAAAAATTTCTTATGAAACAGAGGATGAATTTTGCCAGGACACCAGTGATTATACGCTATCTGTTGGAATGCCAAGGAGCCCATTCTTACAAGGAGTGATTTCAGCCAGATCTTACCAGGTGCCAAATCACTCACAGGAGATAGAAGAACAGCCAGGAACAACCTCAGTCGAACATCTCTCAGAGCAGCCTTTGTCAGGGGCAGAAGCACCTCTGTTACTGTCAGCCAAACAGGGCAAAGCGCTGACCACGTGCAAGCCAGTCCTTGGCTAGTTAGCACACTGGTCTTGCATACAGCCAGCTTTTTCCTGACAGGATTCATCAGGTCAAGCTCCCTACTACAAAAAGCACAGAAATGCTATTGGATCATAGCTGGTGCCAGAGGAACTTTCGCTTTTCCTTTGCCTTTGAATTAGGAAATTTTGCACATTATCTGTGCAAGTATTGGTATTAAAAAACCTTAAAGTCAAATAAATTGTCTTTAGCAAATTCAGTTTTACTTTTTACTTGCTTTTAGTGCTATCCTTCTGGAATTTGCACTATTTCAGATTTGTCTGATATTCAGGTTTCTTTTAATTCATATATCATGTGCAAGCAGTCTAGCTATTCCTAAATCAGTTTGTATCTTGTCAATAACAATGTAATTGAGCAAGGAATAAAATATTCTTCATACCAGTCCTTATTTGTGCTTCATGAAGGCAATTTTTTTTTTCCCTCCATGTGATTTGGGATTTTTGGTTGTTGTTTCATGGTTAAACGATTCAACACTATATGCAGACTGGAAGGATTCCAGCAACGGTTTAATTACATTTTAGGCAAAGGAGCAGCACCCCTCATTAAGCTAGAGTCAGTTTATTCCAACCTGCAGTCCCCCATTCTGCTACTGCCATCTGCAATTATTATAGACTTTCCAAATCCACGCAGATATCAGATTATTATTAGTCTTTTATATTACAATATATTCCAAAGAACCCCTTCAGGTTCAGGGAATTTCTAAGAGGGTTCATACGAGCATGCTTCCTCCAAGAAGCCTTGCAGGTCTGCTCCCTTCCCGAATACAACTGATGGAGCATTACTGCTTATTATCATTCAAACATGCAACTGTAGAATGAGTCAGAGCAATCAGCTATTTATTGTAACAGTCTAAGCTCTTCAAAATAATGAAAATGATAGAATGAGATATTAGCACTCTCCCTGACCCATTCCTCATAAATTCCTCCTTAATCATGCCAATAAGCAACATTTATGCCCAAACCTCTGCTATAAAGTAACTGTTCTAATTGTTTGCTAATATATGACATTAAATATCCACAATGTAGAGATATTAAAAATAGGCATTTAAGTTTAATGACAAGATTAAATAAACTAATCATAAACATTTAATGTTATAACAGATAGGTTTTGATAGCAGATATGAATACATCCCTTTGCATCAGAGACAGTAAGAGAAAATGCATTTAGTTTACATAATCTTTTTGCCACTATACCATGGCCGCAAACACACCAATAATCATTTCGGCAACCATACTATTGCGAAAACGAAATGTATTCTGAAAAACACAAACCTTATATCAATGAGCAAAAGCGGCATCGGGGGGGGGGGGAAGGGGGGGGGGAAATTCACATGGACGTCGTTCCAAAAGGGGCGGAAATCTACATGGACGTAGTTCTCAAAGGGTTATTCTGGTGCCATTTTCCGCTCCCTGTTAACCCTCTGAGGTTAAGTAACAGAAAATGGCTGAAAGTGAGAAAACAAGGGAAAGAAAATGGTGCGTCAAGGAACTTGATTGGTCAGATTTTGCTGCAGAGTCCAGATTCCTGAAACAGAGAAAGGAACACTTCCTAAGATGAAATGCATCAGCAATTAACAGAAAAGGAATAATCTTACACTATTAGGCATTGAAAAATATTTATTTCCCCTGAACAATGCTCCGCGGCCCCTTATTGATGAGTTTAAACGAAAGCTACATTCAATTCAAGCCAACACTTTCTTCAAATCACAGCCGTTTATTTCAAGCATTACAAAAACCAGCAAGTATGATTTGCTGCTGTAATGGAACATACACCCAAAATTACATAACCATAATTGTATTTTAAAAAATCTTGAAACATGTCGGAAAGTCGGTGGACACTTAAAAAGTGCATTTTTGAGGCACTAACTATAGGTTCGTTGAGCTGGAGGGCAAGTGGTTGTGCAACTGCTCATACAGAACCTACAGTCAGGGAGAAGCCCTGTTTTCCGTATATGTGCGCCAGACTCATTGAATGCGAAAGGGGTGGCAGAGTTCTTAAAAGGAATTTAATAAAAATTCTCGCCTAGATATCAAATTTTTAACCCCCCAGTATTCCTAGGGAAATTATTTTCTGTGTTGAGTTCAGTAAATACAGCCGAGATTACACACGGATGCAGAAAAACGATCCAAACAGACGTCTCTAAATATGCAGACAGGGTACGCACAGCCATCAAGGACCCCACGAGTGTCCCCCACAGAAGGCACCAGCAGAAAGCGCATCTCTTCAGAAATGGAGATCGCAGAGACACCACCACACCACCCCCCGCCCTGAAAACGTTAAGCTGCTCCCGGGGATAAGCTAAAAGCCCTTGAGAAGGGCTGATGTCCAGGGGAAGTCGCTCACGACAGCGACGCTCACATCGCCAGAGACAAAACACTGAGAAAACTACCGACCGAGTGCCTGCTTGGAAGGGTGGGAACGGACTTTTGGCTTCAGAAATAAAAGGGAATTAGACAAGGGGAACACTCTTACCAGTGGCAAAGTAATAAACTATGTTACTATAATAAAGAGTTTAAATAACTGCATCTTATATTTCCACTAAAAAATATTTTTAACAGATTATGCATAGGATTCTGTGAAATGAGGCCCGTTTAAACATTAAGTTCTTCACTATGACTGTTCTAATAGAGCACAACTACGTAAAAAATAAAACTAACCTTCCCAGTTTCGATATCGCCTCCAGCTAAATAAAGGCATTGAGTATGAGTATCTTAACAGCGCAGAAAACTCGTAGGGCATCGAAGGCCTACAAACAGGAAATTTAATCTAAAGTCCCGTCCGGTAGGAATCAGGATGAAAACTAAGCAGCAATTACCTTGTTCGGTTTGCTATGTCTTGCTCAACCCTGTCGAAACACAGCTTACCCTCACACTCTGCCAGAGTGTTCAGAGCAGAAAACAAAACCTGAGAAGCACAGCCAGACACGTCCTCCCCCACACAAAGTAACAGTTACAGCTCTTTCTCGTGCCAAAGTGGTGGCTCTTAAAAGAGCCTTTGGGTTTTCGGATAGTCTGGCAAAGATCGGGTTGCTAGGAGCCTCAGGCGCGCTCGCCGCGGATGCGGCGGGCGAGCTGGATGTCCTTGGGCATGATGGTGACGCGCTTGGCGTGGATGGCGCAGAGGTTGGTGTCCTCGAAGAGCCCCACCAGGTAGGCCTCGCTGGCCTCCTGCAGCGCCATGACGGCCGAGCTCTGGAAGCGCAGGTCCGTCTTGAAGTCCTGCGCGATCTCGCGCACCAGGCGCTGGAAGGGCAGCTTGCGGATCAGCAGCTCCGTCGACTTCTGGTAGCGCCGGATCTCGCGCAGCGCCACCGTGCCGGGCCGGTAGCGGTGCGGCTTCTTCACGCCGCCCGTGGCC